CAACTCAACTCAACTCAACTCAACTGGTCCCTGAGTAAAGTTAACATGGAAGTATCAAGGTGCACCCATAATTACCTAGACTGCCACATTCTACAACTACAGCTTCCAGATGGTCTTCAAAGGCAGACCCATGTAGAGTCCCTTGCAGAAATCCACTCCCCAGTTGACTAACACAACTCTTATTACTAAAGGGTTGATGGAATCCTATCAGAGTTTCGTGTTTTTAATTTGCAAGGTAGATGGTTTATTAAGTAAAGTCTCTGGTTTCTGAGCCGCTGGTGTGTTCACATTTTACACATTGTTTGCAGAGGTGGTATTCTATCAGTTGAGACCGGATCGCCTGAACCAGTAGCGGAAATCGTGGGTGGCTCTGCAACTATACGGCATCCCATTTAGGTCATTTTTTTTTTTTGCACAGAGCACATGCAGGGATCATGCGTGGTCACATTTGCGAGCCGGTAGGGAAGGTAAGTGTATTCCATCCCTGATTGTTTGCATTATTGGTGCAGAACAAGAATATCAACTGTGATAATGCTCTGAGGTGCATTACTACCTCGGGTATAATTACAGAGGTAGAATTTGACGTACCATATTTGCTATAAATTATGAGAGTGTAGAGTATGTGGAAGACATGGAAAAATTACCATTCTGTTCAGATTCTGGGGGAATTTTTACATAGTGAACTTTTCACCTGTGAATTAGCACAAATTTAAAATAAAATATTTATGCAGTTATTCCTATCTATAAGATATTGAACATTAGGATCAAAACCAATACATGATGCTGGCCCATTGAAGGAAGGGAAATAAATGGGGAAAAAACATGCTGCCTACATATAAGTTAAAGCTGAAGGACAAGGAGGAAAAGGAGAAAAAAATATCTATAATAGCAATATAGCAATAGCAATAGCAGTTAGACTTATATACCGCTTCATAGGGCTTTCACCCCTCTCTAAGCGGTTTACAGAGTCAGCATATCGCCCCCACAGNTATTTGCATTTTTTGCAGTGTTTTCAACAGGAATTGCCAATTAACTCAATCAAAGGCTTTCTCGGCATCCAGAAATATGAATGCAGCAGGAATTTGGTTATTCTTTCCCAAATATTCTAGTGCATTAACAATTAATCTTACGTTACTTCTCATTTGTCTCCCTTGAATAAAACCTTTTTGATCATTATGAATCAATTGTTGAATAACCAACATTAACCTATTTTCTAGTATTTTAGTAAAGATTTTATAATCTACATTAAGTAGTGATATAGGTCTGTAGTTTTTTGGCTGGGTAATATCTTGGTCTTCTTTGGGTATCTGAACGGCCACCTTCTCTGCAGGGCAGGATTAACCGGCTGCTCTGGATATCTGCAGAATTTCGGCGAAAAAAGCCCTGGAGAGCCTTCGGAATCTGCCAGAAATCCATCTAAAAAGGTCCCCTGGGAGGACTGGAACCCAGGGAACATGAGAGGACTAGTCATCCTGAAGAATCGCCACTTCTGAGCGATCCCGAACGGTGTAATCCTCGGCGGCCGCGGAGTTACTCCCACTGCTTGGAGGGGGAGATGGCGGCGCCGTGCTGCTGACAGCTGCATTTTCATCTGATTTCGGTGTTCTTTGATTCTATCCAGCCGAGCGGTGAGCCTTGGGGACCCTATTACGGACACTACCATTCATCATCACCCCGGAGAGGTGGGGATCTATCTATTTGGACCTGACCGGGATCGGGCGGATTGGGCGGCCGGCTGTGGTTGCCGCTGCCGTAGCCCTCCTTGGACGCCCCCCCTCCCTCCATTTTGCTCACCTCCCTCGCCGTCGCAGCCTCTCCCCTTTGCTCCTCTGTGTGTCTGGGCTTTATACTTTAACAAACTTTTTTCTTCTGCTTGCCCCCGCTGCTTTGGAGCCTCCGCCTGTTCCCTTGTCCAGCATTTACTCTCTACTACCCTGGCCTGTAACCATCTGTTTTTGGTCTTCAACATCTGACCTCCTCTGACCGTTTTGCTAACCGTCACTGCCCCTGGAACACCAACTTGGACAGCGCCCATCTAATACAACTCCTAGGGCCCCATGGTCTGCGTATGTGTGGTGCATTTGGTTTATGGAAGGAGCGACAGAGGATGGCAGAAACACGAGTGGGGATTTGGCGTCTTAACAACCGACGCACCCACCCCTCCTTTCGATCTGTTCCAGCTACCCCAGACTTTGGACCCTCAG